AGCTCTCATGATCTCAGGAGCTGTCATGTGCGTCGTATCGTGTCGTTTACTGGACCTGGCTGACGATCTCGCTGGCCTTGCCGAGGGACTCGACCATTTGCTGACACTCCTTTCTTCTGCGGATGGTGAAGTCACTCTCTTTGAGGAGGTCATCCAGGGTGTCGCTGCGGTACATGTTCTCCAAAAGCTCCTTCTGCATCTCGTCCTTGGTAAATCTATCGCGTGTTAGCCATTGATCCATCGTGTCAGAAGGCGTATTACTCACTGAACGAGGGTCAGCATGATAGCCTTGGGAACCATGTCAATCATGGTTCTCTTAACAATGTTGTAGTAAGAAGAGATGAGCAGCTCTGCGAGATGTGTTAGGCGCTTGTAAAATAATACGACCCAGAATACTTACTGATAACCTCAACTTCGATGTTCTCCCGCTCAGAAAGCGTTCCAGAGGCCTTGAGTGTTGGCGGCGGCGCGTCCATCGCTGCAGCCTTCTTCTTGTTCTTGGCAGCGAAGAAGCTACCAAAGAAACCAGAGTTTGAAGTATCCTCGGGAACGACAGGGCTGGATGCTCTAGGTGTGCCACCCGGAAGGGGCTTGCCAGTCTTGGGATCGACCTGGACAGGCTTGGCGGGGTTGTAACGCTCGTTCACGATGGCCATGGCGCGATGACCGTTCAAAAAGTCAGGGTGGCCAGTGTTGATGTAGCATGCCTCCATCGCCACCAGATCCTTGACCAGCTTGTTGGTAGGCTCCATAGCCTTCTTAAAGAAGTTGATGACAACCGCGTGGACCTTCTCCTTGAGCTGAGGATATCTGCGGTAGAGCGTCTTACCAAGAAGCTGCGACAGGATGCGCACCAGCTCATCGTAGACCAGGGATACACACTTCAAGCTGGGGTCTTCCAAGCGCTTAATCTGCTGCTTCACAATGAGCTCGAAAGCAGTGGTGCCGACGAACAGCGCTGGGGAGGAACCAGAGGAGTTGTAGAGGATAGTGCGGATATCCACATCCTTAACCACGTCAAAGGGATCCACCGCCTTAACACCGTTGGAGTACAGCTCGTGGAAAACGAAGCTGATTCTTGCACCACCTGACAGTTCCGTGCTCGAGAGCTCCGTGTTGTTTCCGTCCAGCACTGTACGCCACTCGTTGGTGAATTCGGTGATGATGTTGAGCACAATGTTTCCGCTGTTGCCGAGCATGCTTGGTCCCAAGCTCTCCAATTCTGCCGCGTACTTGGACAGGGAGCTGGAGATGCGGGCCTTGATGTCGGGCAATGTCTGCTTGATGTGCATCATGAGAATAAGGTTGAGCTTCCTAGCCAGGTAAGGGGTACCGCAGTATGAGCTCTTGTTTCGGTACGCCTTGTGGTTCTCAAAGAAATTCTTCTCGTTCTCCAAGGCAGCGGTAATAGGCTTCTTGTTGTCAATGTCACGCTGACCACGGTTGACAACGGGGACGTAACCAAGTCGCAGAGGAATAATACGACCAGCCAGGATATCCACAACGTCGGTTCCCTCGTCCATGAGATCGACCTTGGTGAGGACACCAATCGTCCTTTGACCCTCGGGGTCAACCTCACGGGCAAGCTTGAGTCCGTCAGAGTTGGCCAAGTCGATGTTGGCGGCGGTTACAGCGAGGATAATTGCGTTGGACTTGGAAATGAACTTGAGAATCATGTCGCGGATCTGGCGCTCGATGTCTCGGGGCTGGTCGCCGACAGGCACACGGGTCAGACCGGGCAAATCGACGAGGGTCAGGGTGAGGACGTTCGGGGAGTAGATTCGGAGGTTGATGGGAGCGGGGGAGATGCCGGCGTTGCGGCCGACCTTGGCCTCGGTTTCTCTGCTGATCTCATCTCGGATCTTGTTGAAGTCGTAGAACTTCTGGCCGGGGATGTGCAGGAATTCGCCCCATTCGTCGGCGTTTGCTGCCTTGTCGTTGGTGTCGGCAAGCTCCTCGACGCCGTTGGATTGGGAAGTCGCGGGACGGTTGATGAGCTGAAGAACGAGGGGTCGACGGGTGACGATGCCAGAGCCTCGAGGCAAACTGGGAAGACAGGGTTGTCAGCTGTGGTCCATACACCGGGCGGCATGTGACGATGGCGGGGCACGCAGTGGTTGGGCAGACTCACAAGTCTCTTCCGACGATGTTCTCCAAGACGGAACTCTTTCCGCTAGACTGACTGCCGACGACGACTATTTGAGGCAGATCGATGGGGTTGGTGACACCGACTGTTGTGAAGACATCTTGAAGCTTGTTCACGAGCCTGAGGCGCAGGTTACAGTTAGCTCCAGAATTGCGTCAAGGACGGTTGGGCAACACGAACGTGATCAAGGCGGGATCAGAAATGCCGCCTTGCGTGGAGAGGGACTGAGGGCCGCTCATGGTTGCGTTGCGACCGGCGCTCTTAGGAAGGGGTTGTTGGCGGTGAGGAGTGTTCGAGGCGAAAGGGTCGGAGGGACGTCTTTGTGGTCAAGTGTCCTGTCGCAGGTCGGTCGCTCCTGAATCGCAGTGTGTGGAGGGACGACCGGGTAAAGGGGGGTCGGACTCGGTGAGCAGGACGACTGATGCACTGGTCGGGGTCAGCCAAGATCGGTCGTGGTAGCCTGGTTGTCGGCGAGGACGGGTTGTTTGTACGGGTTGAGGGTCGAACGCAGGAGATCGCTTGCGAGAGAAAAGCGTGGTGTTCTCTCTTTTTTGTTTGGTTGGGGGTGATGGTGGTGGTGGGATGGCGGGAGAGACGTCGCAAGCACCCAGGCCATACATACTAGGTGCTTAGGTGCTGCTCTCGAAACCTAAAGTACGGTCTGCCACTCGCACTCTGGACCCATCCGTACCTAACCTGACGGGACCCAGGCCACGTCCCCTACCTTACCTTCCACAGGTACGCAGTGGCAGTCCACACGTTGCTGCCCTGAGAGATCCCTGACGCACCAGCCACATGCGACTTGTCTCCACCGAGTCGTAGGCCCCTGTCATTCTGCCGACACGACGACGTTTGGCGGGGCTTTGGGACGGTGAGGGACCTCACGTGATCGATCTTGGGACTTGACAGCTGGAAACGATAGGCGGACATTTGAGTGGTCAGCCACGATCTCTAGTGCAGCTCTCGGGTTACTCGAGATGTGCTCTTTGCATGCGACCAGGCAGGGTAGGTAGGCGGCGATGAAGAAAGTACAGGTGCCTGTTCTGCGTACGTCATTCAAGCCGCGTCAGTTGTTACCAAGGTAAGGTAGGGAGGGTATGTTGACGATGCGAGGTCCCGAAGAGACGACAAGTGAGTTGTCGCTTATGCCTCTCCAGAGTCAAGTTACGCGTGGATTCATCACCCTGAGGGACTTTCAGATCCAGGCAGCGGTGGTGTCTCTTGATGCACGTCCGATTCCGTCGTTACTGACACCAAAGTGACCGATTTATCTCATCAGTTTCTCTCTTCAGCTGAAGTGGTACCAAGGGATTCATATTGTTTCCTCTCCTTCCTGTAATGCAACTGATGCTGCATGAAGACGAAAGAAACGTCGGTGTGGACCAGGATCCGCTGCTCTGTCGCCCGGACCGACACGGCGAATGACGGTAAGGGACCGGAAGGCAGGCGTAACTTGCAAGACTTGGCTCTGTGTTACATCAAGAGACCTGTCCAGACTGCTCGGTCCAGAAAACTATCGTCAGCAGCCATGCAGCAGTGACTACGACAGATAAACTGCATGTTCATCCACACTCTGACGGGGACGATTGCCGATATACTTCGGAAAGTGAGTGACAGTATCGTAGCTTGCCGGCTGGCTTGACGATGTACACAGGCACCTGACTGATAATGAGCATCCCGGCCTCCATTGTCGCTGCTACCTTACACTGCCGTTACCTTAGTTAGGCAAGGCCACGTTGGGGTACCCGCCAGTAGGACTGATAAGAGAAAGCTCAGCCCAAGCATCCATCTGTCTTGGGTATCTGTAGGTACCTTGTCCAAATGCCACTTCGACCTCCCGTCTTCCACGCCTCTGTCTCGCGAACAAGTTACTATGTATCCCAACGCACTTTATTCCCGGCTTTTATTCGGACCTTGGTTGTGCACTGAGAAAGGCAAACGTGCCTTGGCCATTCAAGCGCGCGCCCTCCTCAACGTATCACCAACAGAAACCCTCCTTTTCAAATCGTATCTAGGGTAGACACTTGTTGTACTTGGCGTGGTGCTGCTCGGACAAACAAACCACTTAGTCGGCCTCTACTATGCACTTGTATGTGCTAAGCAGCTAAGGTAGGGAATGGTTGTCTCGGGTTCTTGGGAGATGGACTGCACTGAATCGTCCCTCCAACCCCCCGGTAAGCGGTGCAGGTCATTCGTACCCACTCCATCGCGCAGGGTGGCTGCCATAGGCCCAATCAGCCGGCATCCCGTCATCTGCTCGTCCGCTGGCTCCAGTGGCACTCCCTGCAGCCCAGTCAGTGTGCTGCAGCGGTGCGCGGCTGCCGTCCACGGGTCCCTACCTACTTACCTACCTTCTTGCCTCCACTACTAAGGTAAGGTAGGTAGGTAGGTACCTTCAAGACAGCCCAGGCAAGTATTCGGCCAACCTACAATGGAAGGTACGGTAGAGACTACGTAGGTGACCTGCTGGGTAGGTATGACCGATGCCATCCTTCACTGCCCCGAAACCTGCACCAACGAACTCCAAACCTCAAAGCTTCACCTTCCATTTCACGCTCCCTCCACCACCCTCGTCTACCTACCTACCGTACCTCACATACCTTACCTCACCAGAGACTACCGGCCTCAACGCCCAGGCCCGACTCCCAGACCTCGTCCCTCGTGCATACCTCGTCTGCCTCGTCTGCTCTCCCACCAGCGATTTATACAGACGCAGCTCTACTGAGCCTCGCCTTGCTGTCCCTACCTACGTTACCTTACCTAACCCGACCCGACTACCTGACGCCTACAAACACATGTCCGTCCGTTCGCACCCATCTCTCAGGCCTAGTAATTAAACTGCCTAGCAACAGAGCGACTCGTCACCGCCGACCTTGCATTCCTCCGATGCTGGGCGACCCTACCTGCTTTTCCAACAGATACCGACCGACGAGAGCATCCGCGGGTTCTCCCCGCGGCAACAGAGCCCGACCTGGACCCCAACTTCGATCCAGATCCCAACTCCCACTACATTCTCGCCGCCAACGATCACCCCACCCCGCCGAACGTTCAGATACCCTCTAATTCAGACCTATCGCCCTCTGTCGCCGCGTCTCGCCCCTCCTCGGCCTCTCCTGACGAACTCCATCCCTCGCCCCTGCACTCCCCCGCCGTTGCCCAGCATTCCTCGACTGCCACCGGAACGATAGCATCTAATACGGCGCCTCGTCAGGTCTTGGGCCGTAGACAACGAGCCACTTCCGACTCGGATCGGGGAAGCCCTCCTAGTACGTCTGCCGGCGCCAGTCGATCCGCCTCCCACCGCGTCAAACGCAGAAGAGGCGACGCCAACATGATCTCAGACGGAGATGGACTGGCTTCCAACGGCGCTCCGAGGGCTTACTCCAACGGCGCATCCTCTGATGCCCAGCTGTCTGCCTCTGCTACAAATGGAACTCGCAAGGCCGCTGCCATGAACGGCTCCTCCCGCTCCGACAAAGAAACATCGTCACGACCGCCGACGACATATTACGGGCATGATCGCGAGGAGGTGACGCGCATTCTGATCCAGGCCCTTTCCGACATGGGCTATCATGGTGCTGCGGAGAGCGTCAGCAAGGACAGCGGCTACGAGCTCGAGAGTCCAACGGTCGCCGCCTTCCGAAATGCGGTCGTCAACGGCGAGTGGGGTCAAGCCGAGGAGCTCCTCTTCGGAGCCGTCATGTCCGACGACCGAGGCCAACAAGGGAACGGCTTAGTCCTGGCCCCCGGGTCAGACAGGAACGTCATGCGATTCTGGTTGCGCCAACAGAAGTTTCTAGAGCTCCTGGAGCAGCGTGATACGAGTAAAGCCCTCATGGTGCTACGAACAGAGCTCACGCCGCTTTATCAAGACACCCAGAAGCTCCATTTCCTGTCTAGTCTACTCATGTGCCAGTCCACGGAGGATTTAAAGGCCAAGGCAGAATGGGATGGTGCTCACGGCCAGTCCAGAAAGGTGCTGCTGTCGGAGTTGTCAAGTATGTGATATTCCCCCTAGCGTCATGTGTCGCAAATGTTGACCTATCGTAGAATGTATATCGCCGTCTGTCATGCTACCTGAAAATAGGCTGGCGGTTCTCCTGCAACAGGTAAAGCAGAGCCAAATAGACAGCTGTCTGTGGCATACCACTGCATCTTCACCATCATTATATTCCGACCACTACTGCGAGCGGAGTCACTTTCCCACCGAGGTAGCCCTGGAGTTGACAGATCTGAATGGGGAGGTATGGCAGGTACAATTCTCACACGACGGCAAACGTCTGGCAGCCTGTGGTAGCGGCGAGGCAGTCGTCATTTGGGATCTCCCTTCATTTTCAGTTTCACAAGTCCTTCGCCCACACGCTCATGGTGTCGGCAATTTCTCATGGAGCCCCGACGACTCGATGCTCGTAACGTGCTCACAGGACAAATATGCACGGCTGTGGGACACATCGGTATGTTTTGTCCGCCTGCTTTGAGGCCCCTAGCTGACAACTCATGATACAGACTGGGGAATTGAGGCTTAAACTGGAGCGCTTCGAGGAGCCAGCCAGCGGTTGTGTATGGGCCGCTGACAGCAAGAGTTTTGTGACCGGAGCCCTGGATAAGCAACACGGCCTGCGCACTTGGAGCACCTCGGGGGAAATGCTGTACGAATGGGGCAAAAAGCACCGGGTTCAGGACTTGTGCGGCTCGCCCGATGGTCACTGGCTGGTCGCGGTGGACGACGTGCAGAAGATACACGTCTATAATCCCACCACACGCGAATTGGAGTATGAAATGGAGCTGAAGGCTCGGCCAACTTGCGTCAGCATCAGCGAAGACTCGCGCCATCTTCTTGTCAACAAGAAAGACGGCGAGGTGCAACTGATAGACTTGGCAACTCGAACCTCCGTACAAAAGTTTCTCGGACATACGGGAGGTGACTTCCTCATCAGGAGTGCTTTTGGTGGCGCCAACGAAAGTTTTGTTGTTAGCGGCAGCGAGGGTAAGTCGGAGTCGCACAAAACTGCGTCGTTACAAGCTAATCTAGAAGCAGATGGGAACATCCTCATCTGGCACAAGAATAGCGGCGCTGCCGTTGAAAGGCTTGAAGGCCATCAGCCCCGGACTAATGCCGTCAGCTGGAATCCAGCAGACCCTTGTATGCTGGCGTCGTGCGGCGACGACGGAAAAGTCAAAGTGTACGTTGGCAACACCACGACGAGTCGCGCATCTCTGCTGACAATCAACAGGTGGTCGAATAAGAACCAAAGTACAACTCTCAGATCATTACATAGTGCAGCCTCGAGAGGCTCGAATGGGTGGAGAGAAGACGATCGAGCTGAGGAGTAGATGTACGTGATCAGATGATTGGAATCATAGACCAGAACAGGAATAAATCTCCTTCATGCAATGTGTATTATGGGGTATTGGCGCTCGGAGAATGGGCATGGCGGTAGGGCGGCCACTGAGTTGACGATGGACTCGTTCGTCAATACTTACAGCTGACAAATTTTCATAAAGGCATAAATCAATTACATTACCGCCCTACGTTGACCACGCGGGATCTTGCGACGCACTTGCGGCTTCCCCCCAACCAATATCTATGGGTCTTGCCGTTTCGCAAGTCAAGTCCGCAGTCGCCGCCTTCTCATGACAGCTCCTTCTGCAGTTGGTCGATGTATGCCAAGACGAAGGCGTAGAGACTTCCATGCCCATGAAAGAAGACGCGGGTTACCTCTTGCCGAAGTGACGCCAAGTTCATCGAGCTTGGGCACCTGCGACCCTGGGGACTGCTCATGCCATCATTACGCCTACTGACAACGGATGTCTCTCCTCCATCTAGATCTCTGCGAGAATCATCCAACGTCACGTCCATTTCGACCAGCACAATTTCCAGCCATCAATATCTTCAGCTACACTTTTGATATCCATCGCTCGTCATCCTTTACCGTACACAACAAGTCCCATACATTCACTTTCCATTCTTCCTTCTCGCTGGAAGAATGAGTTTCCCCATCGGGTCGCCAATTCCCAGCGTGGACCATGGCTACAATAACCTGGATCCCGCCCCCCGAGGCAGTCCTCGTACTACTTCTCGGGCTGTTTCTCGCACCGCTTCTCGGGTTGGTTCTTCAGAACACACTGTGGTCCACGAAAAGCTTGCAGGAGACCACAGCGAGGACAAGCCCAAAATGGCCAAGGCTCAAAGACAAAGCGAAACGGTTGAAACGATGAGAACTGTCGTCTTTCGTCACAGAAATGATCCCTTACTGCAGACCAGAGAGGGTCGAACTCTACAGCTTGTTTTGTCCGATACCTGGCTAGCCGAATCCACCGACGTGAACAAGTGGTATCCGTCATTGGAATACTACTGGTGCTGTGCTGGCATGGCGTACGCGAAGACTGAAGAAATGATGGAACGGATTGCTTACTCGGAAGACCCTTTTGCTCCGTCAGATGTAGGCTTTTGCCATTCCGTATGTCTAGACTACACGTGCAGCCGTGGTAAGTCAATCTCCCGAAGAAGTCACCCTTCACAAAGCTAATCAGTGAAGGATCCGGTGCTGCAGCCAAGGCTCAGGCTCAACGCCTGGCGATTCGAGAACACTATGTCATCAAAGGCAGCGAAAAACTAGACCGTCATGCCGCAGGTTCCGAAAGAACGAGGACCATTAATATCAACCACCAGGAAGTTACTATGCGAGAGAAGCTCTGCAGAGAGCTCGACAAGCATCCTTTCCCGAAACCGCCCATGGGGTCACCCCGCCGGTTCAAGCCTGTGATGACCCCTTACATACCACCGCCTCAAATGGAGATGCCCGGGATGAGGAGCTTGCCTGTCATATCTGAGTCGTCGGAAACGTCGATACCTCGTGTAATTCGGCGGAATCCGCTCAACAGCCCACCTGTACGACACCGGACTCCCTCCGTGATCAGCATTGTCGAAGAACTTCTTGAGGACCCCAAAGAAAACAACGGCCTACGGGATAATCGCCAAGAAACTCCTGCAAGATCGCCGGATATTCTGAGAAGCCCTATGTTGGGACCACAAGATCCTAATGTTGTGGTTGACAAGCCATCTGCATCTCACCGACTCGCCCGTGATCCAATAGCTCCGGCTGGACTTAATCCCCTGTTTCACAGCGTCTACGATGATCCCGTCCTCGGCACGGCGCAGGAAGTGCGCCTGCACACTATTCACGAAGACCCTGTCACCCAGGTGGCTCGCCAGCCAGAAGCTCACAGGATCAATCAAGATCCAAAGGCCAAGGTCGCAGCCGCTGCTTCACCTCACAGCGTGCATGAAGATCCTGCTGTCAAAGTCGCTGCCGCCTCTTCACTTCACAGCGTGCATGAAGATCCTGCTGTCAAAGTAACTGATTACGGCTACGACCATCGGCTCAGTCATGATCCAGTCGTCGCTTCCGAACCCCCAACGAAGCCTCACACCGTTCACGATGATGAGACTGTGGCGATGCCTAGAGCGTATCAGCCGGCACCGCACCGCCTGAGCAGCGACCTTCAGGTCGTCGGAAAGGGGTCAACAGTGCCTCACAGTGTCCATGATGATCCAACCGTGAAGGTGTCCCAGGGCGAACCGAGGAACCATGCCATGCCAAATGACTCTGATGTCAAGAAAGGCAACGAGAACTCGCCCATGCCTTAACTCGCGCCGTCAAATCCTCTTTGGGCGACGAAGTCTGTCCAGGGACTCGCATGAGGGGATAATGAGGCATTCCTGCTGCTAAAGTGGCAGATGATGAAGGGGAAAACGGAGATAGGACGTTCCAGTATTCTTTGTAATTATGGTATCCACCGCTAGCCTTAGGATTCCTCGACTGGTAGTATTGAATACCACATCCTACTCGTCCAGGCAGTTCGCTCCATCTCCTTGAGAGGCTTAGGAGCTTTCCATGCTAATTTGCACCTTCTTAGTCGTAGTGCAGACATGTCCTTTACGGGGAGTGATCCATGTTACGGTCTCTACCCATCGGCTTGGGTCTGCCGGGTGAAGCCCAGGGTCCTTCGTCCTCAGCTCGTCGATGATGCAGTTGTGCCATTCGGCTGCTGCACATGCTTTACTGGGGCCATTCGGCAGCCCCAGAACCCATGTTTTCGTAAGTTTTCTCCTTGAATATAATCCAACTCTTGCAAACCTGTCGGCGATGATGGTGGGGAAACACATGGACTTGCACAATCGCTGTCTTATTCGCTGTGCATGTTGAGCGTAGACATATTCCGTCCTGAGCGTTGCCGTTGACAAGTATGCTACAGTCTACCAACCACTCTTCAGACACTCGGCAAAGAACTTCATCAGAGGAAACATCTCCTCGCGGTCCCGGGGCATCGCCACGTCTTTTCGCTTCCACCTCACCACCCTGACGTCAAGAAACTCTTCCTTCACAACATCAAAAGCGTCATCGTCAAGCTGGACCAGGCAGGCTTTCGTCTTCGACTTGCCGCGCGTACTAGCCGTCGGGATCATGGAATGGGGCAGGGGCCCACCGATGGAGAGCACGCCCTTGAGCGTGCCCTCGTCCACACTCTTCCCTGCCTTCTGGCCGCCGTCCGTCACGTCGACGACCTTGGGGCCCAGTCGAAGCTGCGAGGCAAGGCCCAGCGCGAGAGACCCGCCCTGCCCGAAGCCGAAGAGGATTATGTCGCTCAGCTCCCAGCCGCAGTGGCTGATGAGCGTCTCGCGGATAAGCTTCTCTGTGACTAGGTTTGCGGCTTTGGTGAATCCCGGATCCGGGGAGATGTCGTCCGTGGCGGGGTCGAAGGTCAGGTCGTCGCCCCAGTGGAAGTGGCCTGTCGGAGAGGAGGAGGAGGACTGCTGGGGCATGTCGGGCAGCATGGATGGAGGCAGCGGGGAGGGCCCGCGGACGGAGATTGAGAGAACGCCGGGGAGGGACATTGCGCGGGCGAAGGAGGCGAAGGGGGCTTCGGAATCTCCCAGGCCGTGGAAGAGGATAAGGATGGCTGTTGTGGACTCTGGCGGGTTTGGGAAGGCTAGGGTCAGGGGTAGGACTTGCTGGATTGGAGCGAAGTCTTCCGGGGTCGGGATCCGGGGGGGCATGATGATGGATGGCGTTCGGCTTCTTTTTTCCTGATGGGGTTTTGTGAGAGACGGCTGAGTCGTTGACGTCTCCTATTTTTGAAGAATCTCGAGTCGTAGGGGTTTTGTGGAAAGTCAGGATGAGGTACTCGTGAGTTGCTGCTCACTTGACTGAATGCCAAGGCGAATGAGATGAAGTTATCTCCAAGTGGAGAGGTTTGACGTATGAACGAAAGCGAGAGAACTGACTTTGGACCCCACTTTTCTCCAACGCAAAGTCGAGCTTCAAACACCACCATGTGCGATAAATTGCTTTCCTCAATCACCGCAGGGCTGATTTTAGCCCACTGAACGTTTTGGGCCCACGAGCATGTAATATGGGTATCATAAGCTTACAATCTATCGCCGGTCGATCTGCGGGGGGTTAGGCTTGACAGCTCTCGGCGGCTTCACTCCTGCCTCCCTCACTCTCCCTCTGTCTCTCACTCACTCTCGCACACTGCCACATGGCTTTCATGGTTGAAGCATCCGGCACCGTCGACCGAGACCGAGGCTTTGACAGTCCAGATCAGAGAGAGAAAGCCTACGCGTCCTCCTCAACACTGACTCTGCCCAACGGTCCCATCATTCCTCAAGGTTCAGGCTGTCAAAAACATCAGTAAAACTCGTCTCAAATTTGAGTTTTTCTGCCTTTCATAACCTGCTCTCCTTCCACCAGTTTCCCTCTGCAGACTCTGCAAAGACCGGTTCGCCGCTGACTCGAGCCAACACCCAACTTCGTCGTCGCATCATGAGACGGCGCAGCCAAGACCTACCTGCTCAATGGGGAGGGGGACAGCATGAGGCTCAGCCCCGGCCGCGCCAGGGTATGCCCTTGAAGTCGACCGGCATCTTTACCGTCTAGCTGGACCCACGACCACGAGGCGGCTCTACAGTTCTCGTACGCCTTTCCCTAATGCTACCCTTTATTTTTCTGGGTGTTGCTATGTTTGTACACACGCGCGTAGAGAATAAGTAATCACCTCACTCTGAAACCAACCCGCGCGCCTTAATCTGCCCGTATGGCCCCTCACCATCCCCATCGTATCGTCGAAAGCCTAATCACCGACCAACACGGAGGCAGACGGCTCCGGTACGGCGGCGCCGAAGGTTCGTCCTGTCAATGCTCTCCCATGGATCTGTCGAGTTGGAATGTGTAAAGACGCTGGTCCGAGATGCTCGGAAAGATCTATAAGATCGGCCAAGACTCCCGCGTCTGTACCGCGTTTTGTTCTTCTCTCTATCTCATCTTCAATCTTTAGTCTCGAGTCTTATTCTCTACTTCCCACAGCTGTGCTGTCGTTTCAATTTCTTCTCACCAAACCATCGTCTCTCGCTCAACAAACGTTTTTAATTCAAACCAACTTTGATTACCACCTTCTTTTTCCTTTACCAAAACTCAAGATGAAGTTCTCCATCGTCCTCGCCGCCCTCGCTGCCGTTGCCTCTGCTGCCCCCACCAAGGACAGCAGCAGCGCCGGCAAGATCCAGAAGCGCGCCCCGGTCTTCACGGCCAAGACATTTGACGAGATCTCCATCAGCGGAGGCACCGCCGGCACCGCCAAGGAGGACGCCCTCAAGAAGTTGAGCGGCCTGCCCACGGACCTCACCCAGGTCGACAAGGCGGACATTACGTTCCTCAACAACGTCAACAAGATTGCCAACCAGGCCGAGCGCGGCGCTTACAACACCAAGATCGCCGAAACCACTCCTGGTGAAGATGCTCTTGCTTTGCAGGTTTGTTTTCCCCCCGCCCCTGCTCACTGTGCTATGAGAGACTTGTAGGTCAGAATACGTGACTAACACCATTGAACAGCGCGCCAAGATCCAGAACAAGGTCCTCAAGCTCACCGCCACCGTCATGCAGCTGCAAGCCCAGCAGGCGCAGGGCCAGAACGTGACGGCCAAGCTGGAGGAGGAGACCAAGAAGCTGAACAAGAACATCGCCGACGACCAGGCCAACAAGGGCAAGACGGCGACCGCGCTCAAGTTCAACGCCTCCACCGACAACCCGACCGCCTCCGACGTTCCCAAGGACGACGCCGTCGCGAAGAAGGCCGGTGATGTCGTCGACGCCTCCGTCAAGGCTGCTGGTGGCACTGCCGGCGCTGCCAAGACCGCTCCCAAGCCCAAGAAGACTGCGAACAAGGTTGTCGAGGCCGCGCCGGCTGACGCGGTCGAGGATGAGGAGTAGATTTGATGATTGATGATCAGAAAGTTGGCCGAGGGGTGTTTAAGAGAGCTTGGTTTCTCGAGGCCCTGAAGTGTCTACTCTTATTCTCTTTCTTTTAGATACTGGAAGTTTTTAATTAATACATTCCCGTTTCTATGGAAAATTGTTTGATTCGTCCTCACTGTGATAATCTTCATTTTGGTGAGCTTGGATATAAGTGAGCCTCACAACGGCATATAATCGATCATCGGGTGGGACGAAGTACTATGCGAGTCTCACTCGTACACTCTGTGTCAGCCCGGAAGCGAAGATTGCGTTCCAAGACGTAAAAAGCCTCCCAGTTGACGATGTGCGTCGTCTGAGCAACTGGTGAGATACGCCGAAGATTTGTTGACATCAAGTCCACTTCCAAGCTCAACTTTACTCTCGTTCGTCTTGAGATCACCAGTGAAAGCCTAGTCAAGGATGAGACTTGAATCATCTAGGTGCCAAGATGCCAACACCTCTTTCATCAATAACAGAAATGACCAAAGAAACAACAACGACGACGGTAGAGCTCCCCGAGAAACCACTCAGCTACCAAGGCAAGATCAGACGGAGATCATCTCATCCGTGATCTTCACCGAGCCGTGGTGATCACCAGAACCGAAGCCGTTTCCCGGCTACGTCGCATGCTGACAGCAGAAACCCTCGGCAGATCTTTCCGGGGAGAAGGTCCAGAATATTCCAAAAGTTTTGGGAAACAAGTGCCTCTCTGATTCAAATCGCTTCAGCCTTCATGCTAAGAAAAAATCCGCTTCCAAGCTGTCACTGTTGCGGGATGCCGACTCTGCCGAGACCTCAAGCTGACCATCCTTCGGACACCGTACCCTTCTCTCAAGAACAAAGCCCACCAACCATGTCAGAGAACCGATCTCATGAGCTCTTTTCTTGACTGCCTCCCCGTGTTTTTCTCAAGTTCGTCGCTGAAATCCAAAAGAAGCCTAGCCCAACTCACACAGCCTTCGGTTCCGCTCCGAAAATGTGAGGGTCTTGAGGAAGCGATACCCCTGTCCGCGGTTTCACCTCTCCAGACGAATTCCCCACCAACATCGTCGCATCACAACTCCTGGAAGCACCAATCTAAACCCAAAAGGCCCTCTTGCATGTCCCAAGACAGAGCCTCCCCTTACCCATGTTCGTCTCATCCACGTCCCCTTTTGGCTTTCGCCTTTGGACAATGACAGGGCTTAGACTTTTTTTTGCTGGTGACGAGGTGAACCTCAGACGGCTGTGATTCAGGTCGTCGACGGCCGTCCCATGTCACCGCCGCCTCCTTTACCTCAGCTTTTCTTTCAGCTGGGGGAGTGCAGCAAGTCTGCCCGCCCGAAACTCCCTCATCCCTCCGGTTGATCATGGGGATCGTGTAGTATTGGGGTCCGATGGGTTCGGTCACTTCGCCTCTGGTTGCACCAGTGTGGTCCAGGAGTAAAGCAATAGTAATCGAGACACATCGTGAAAGCCGGGATTAATCGAGCGCAGATGGATCGGACTACTCCAGACGCTTATATATAACCTTACCATTCCCTCCTCTCTGTATAGGTCGTCTTATCAGGCTTCCCATCTCCACTGTTCAGTCTCTTCTGCTTCTCTGCCGCCGGTCGGACACTCTTTACTCATACACATCCTTCTTTTGCTCTCGGGCTCGACAAATCCGGCCACAGTCTTTCCGACACCCACCACCACGCATATACCCAAATTCTCCATACCTTGAATCAACATGAAGTTCTCCCTCCAGACCATCGTGATGGCCTTCGCCGCCGCTCACAGTGTCGCCGCCCTCGCCGTCGAGGACCCCGCCATGGCCGCCGTCCGCCGCGACACCCTCCTCATGGAGCGCCAGGGCGCCAACGACAACCGCCCCGTCCCGAATGGCGCCTGCTGCGTCGCCAACACGAGCCTGAAGCAGGACGTCTGCAACGTCAACGGCCAGACCGGCCGCTGCGTGCCTGACAGCATCAACAACTGTGAGTTTGCACTCCTTTCTAGCAAGCCAAACAGAGAGGGAAGTAGGAACATGCTGACACTTACAAAACCAGGCGGCGCACAATTGACCTGCATCGAGGACAGCCGCTTGACGTGTGACCCCAACACCCTCGAGCGTGGCCGACCCCTTTGCCGCCGCACCCCTGGCGCCTAGATCCAGCAACATCTGAAGCCGCGTTGATCTCCTTGCTATTCAAAGATACCATAGTAATTCCAACCAAATTCTCGCTCGTGGTTGCCGAGGACATGTGATGCTTCAGTATCGGTTCCGGAGACTGATTTCATGATCCAATTCGGATGATCTTGTTGACTATACATCTAGTATAAGTGTGCTTCTCACGTTATATAATTACCACCGCGGCATCCTCTCTTCCTCTTCTACTAAGCTTCGACTCCGCACCATGGAAGGTCCCTCCTTCATGTCTATCCATTTGCCCTCGGCGTTCCAGATGCCGGCTTTAGTAAAATCATAACTCTCACTGCCTTCCATGTACCCAAAGCGGAAGTATTCGTTCATTCCAAGGTTGCTGTCGCGAGTCCATTGGAAGCTGTTCTGAACAGGCGTGTCGTCAAAGTAAGTGCGGAAACGCTCAACATCGTTGACGAGGACGCTGATTCCGTCGTACAGAGCCCCCGAGGGAACGGTCCACGTGAAATTGATGCTCCACGTGCTTTGTGCAAGGTCGATAACGGGCGGGAGAATGTTGGGAAGTGCTGATCCATGCTGCGCGTCTCCTTGCAGGGCGGCGGGTGTTTGGAGGACGGCGTCGAATCCCCAGCGAGC